GAATGATTGTAGTATCAGGCTGCAACATAACAAAATTGAAAAAAGTGAAGGGGGTCTGAATTTCCGAATGCACTGTAAGTGGAATATGAAGTTTGGTGAACACCAAAGCAGAGGTCATTAAACCCCTCAGAACCAGTGTTAATAATAGGAATGCTTGCACAGAGGTTACACCATGCCCAATCTCATTCCTAAACAAAGCAAACCTTTATTACAGACACAGACCAGAATAACATTACAATAGTGGTAAAATAAGTAATTAAAAATTCATTACACATCATTAAGAGAAACGCAGAATCTAAGTAAAATTGGGGACAATTTGGAATAAGGCTTGTTGAGTAAAACCCATTACAAACAGTACTTAAATTCCCTGGAGTATCTGCTTTATGTGTGCTTGCCTTGCTTTCCCCCTAGGATTTTATTTAAGATTGAATTGACTCTATATCACATACCAGAAAATACAACAAAAGTTAAAAAAAAAAAAAAAGCTTGGTAGGAGGGGACAATAAGTCCAGCAAAACTTAAGAGAAAGTAAGAAATCATACTTGGAAATACTATACCTTACAGCAACCGTTCTGGATCTTCTTTCCAAACTGTCTGTTTAGAAGCATATATTATATATATAGTTCTTGTGGCACTAAATGCAGTATTTTATCTCATATGCATAATGTACAAAAAATAGATAAATCAAGCTATCATATTGAATCATAGAAAAATATAGACTCAATCAATTTTAGTTTATTGAATGATTACACCATGGCTTCTGGAATCTATCACTATTCTCTAATATATGTATAATATATATTTGCCCAAAATGTTTAGAAAAAATGTAACACTGGATAAGTCAAGATGGAATTGGGCGGCCTATACATTTAATGAACAAACAAATAAAAATTCTATAGGAAGTCCATAAGATTAACTCTTATAAAAAGTATTTCTCACTTAAAGAAGCAGGCTCAACATGTGTTAAGTTCAGCTTTTGTCCCAGAACATAGAGGCCTTGATAAATAAAAGATAGCTTTGTCATATCCAAACCTTACATTTTCAATTACTGCAGTTACCAAACTGTCAAATAGATTTGGCTGCTCATAGTGGTAGGAAGAGAAGAAATATAAGATATCAGAAAAGTTGTTCCACAGAATCCTAGGCAATCAGAGGATCCTGGTACTGGAAGAGGCAATCTTTTCTTGAGCAGGTAAAATTTAACATAGTCATGCTATGGACTGCTATGTAATCCAGATTCTATTAGGTGGACCTGAGAGGTCCAGCCAAAGAACTGGGAGTAGGCAGGGAATTCTGATCGCAGCAGTTTTTATACTTTACTTTTCCAGTGTTGGATGAGTACGTACATCCTCAAGTTCAAAAGACTCAGTCAGAGGGCAATTTCTGGTCTGTGGTACTGGAGATAGATTACATTTAGAGGACTTCTCTAAGTTCAAAAAGTTTGGAAATACTATGTTACTGAGTTAACCCAATCGTCTGTGTAGGCTAGCAGTTGATTTTAATTCAATCCATCTAATGCTACAGAAATTCTATACCAGAACTTCTATTATTTAACAACATTTTAAAAAGTATACATCACAAGTACTTCTCTGGAAGGAGATCCAAAGGACCATATGTGATAATATTTGAAATAATCTTTAAAAAACTGTCAGTTTGAAGTCCAGTGCTTAAAAAATTAAACAAAAGAGAGGCAACAATTAAAAAAACTTATCAGGGAAATATGATTTTAGAAGAAATCATGTTGCCATTTATAACATAAACAGACAAGAAAGAGGCTTACCTGTTCTTGCTTTCCACTGAGAAAAATGACAGTTGTCAGAGAATAAAATCAGTTTAAGATAGTAGAAAACCTAGACTTTGGCATTTCATTTCATCTCTAGTATTTGTTTAAAAACCACAAACAAGCACGTGCATGTTAAAACACTTGGAAAAATGGTTTAATGAAGTTTACAACAGAAATGAACTGTACAGTTACAGTAAGTTTCATATATATAAAAATTACAGCAGACAAATGCATCTACACAAAACCTACCATTTTCATCCTGATTCACTGTAATCTACACAGTTTCTCAATGCCCACAGGCACCTGCAGGCAGCCACTGGGGGGAAAACAGAAGACATCTTTAAAGAGACAGCATCCTTTTGATCTCCCTTGGGAGGCACATTATGTTTCAAAATGCAGCTTGTCTAGGTCTCAGACTGAGTATAAGCAAGAATGAATGTTATATGATGTGTAAACCACTATTACATGATGACATACATTGCAAATTAAGCTATATAAATGATCATGTAGGGAAGGTCTATGGAAAAAAAAAATCTGTTGATCAATGTAAATGAAGCTGTACAGTACACAGAGATTACATACTAGGTTTTGCAAGAGAAATGGGCAATAAACATTTTTCTAATCAATGTTTCCAAATCACTGCCTTCTGGCAAAATAGTTTTGTTATAAAAACAAAGAGAAAAAAGTTATAACATCAGAACACAAACATTACC